TGTATCATGATATGGCTACCCTACCAACTCATGACAATGTATGCTTAGTTGCTTTTAAATTGAGTAGGTGTTGCCAGCAATATCAAGCATAAGAGGCAATGAGGTGTTATTTGAGAATGGGAAGGCACATTCCTTTGACACAATAGTTTTCTGCACCGGATTCAGGCCATCCACAAACAAGTGGCTTAAGGTAATAACATGAAACAATCTCTCACCTTAATCATTCCTATTCACATGATCATTTTCTTATTGTATGGAGCAGGGAGGTGACCATTTGCTGAACGAGAAAGGGATTGCAAAGAACAATTTCCCTAACAACTGGAAAGGAAAGAATGGGTTATACTGCACTGGATTGTCAAGGACAGGGTTTAAAGGAGCAAGTTTTGATGCCCAGAGCATAGCCAGCGACATCAAGTCACTACTGTAACACAGAAAGCTGGAAAAAGAAGGAAGTGCTTTGATGAGTTCTAGTTTCTATAATGTTATTGTTGGATTGGTTACCTTCTGGGAGGTTGATGTCCTGATAAAACGAAATTTATGCATTCTAGGTACCTGTGTGCAAGGACTATGCCATCACATAGTGGGAGAAAAGCTGAAAATAAAGTGTTTGAATGGGTAAAATCCAACTGTTTTTATCATTACTAGTTATTACAACAAATGCTCTCAAGGTTAAATATGGCCTAATTCGGCACATGACCATCTCTTATTGGATATTATTTTGGTGTGTTGCCTGATTGAATGGATGGCTGCAGAAAACCGAACAATGAGATCATGAAATGGGGCAAGCAGGGGAGAGGAAAAACAATTATTGAATCAAAAGATGCAGCAAGTCTGTAGAAGCAAATTGTAAAACCCGGCTGTGGTTGACTGTAAAAGGATGAAAGCAGTGGGGTTGTGGCTTTTATAGAAATGGGCCGACGTTATGAATTCTTGGAGTTGGTGGACTCAAAGTTGTGAACCATGTTTTACTGGCCAATAAAATTAGACTGAATTCTCAACTTTCGCTTGTCACGCCCAGAGGATTCCATCAAAACCAATTTCGGAATTTGAAACTGGAATATCACAAAAGTCCTGCTCCATTGCTTGGTTGTCCCCTAGGTCAACATATGGCTCCCAAAGATCCGGAGATCTTTCAAAAGGAATTCCATAATCTTTAAGTATGCAGGATGAAGCAGCAGTAGCTGCTTTTCTCTCCAAAACGACCACAAATTGATCTTCAAACTCAAAAACCAGATATTTGTCCTTACAAGCTGACAAAGAACAGACTGCCATGAGAAGTACATGTACAAAGAAGTTGAAAGAGATAACAAGGGATGCTAATCTGCTACCACTTACAATCCACAAGGTGCACTAGGTGATGAATATTTTTTATTTGAGTTCCATTGAATTTCAAAACCTGAAAATTTTCAGACTTTTAGCATTGTAATAAATAAATTAGCAGGTAATTATAAGGGTTGATAGAAAACCCACCTGCCAATTGGCCATACTCTCATATCCAATGTTCACATCATTAGCCAAAACCTATGAATTTGAAGATAAAGGCAAAAGAAAAAGAAACGAACGAATGGCATTGAAAAGCAAGTCAGATCACAGGCACCAAGTACTGATTCCAAATCTCATGAAAAATCAGTCTATGCAATGTTAATTGATGATATAATCAGGAAATTAAACCACCACGATTATTTACATAAGCACAAGACAACAGCATTGAGTATCCACAAAGATGTCACTTCAAAAGGACATTCTTGTGCTAAAGTATAACTGCAACTTTGATATAATGTATGTACATTTCTTGATTGTATTAAATGCAGCATACCTGAGATAGTATAACAGTTTGCTCGCCTTTGAACCTTGCCAAAGAGTGCCTTGCCTTGAGTAGTAATTTCACCTGAGCAGAAGCAGGAATAATTAATAAAATTTTGATCCATGAGTCATGCAATTCAATCAGAAAGCATCAAAATATTGGTGTAGAAGCAAACTAGCATAATTAAAGATCAAATCCACTAGTAGTCACACCCACCCCTATGGAGTCCTCACGTTCCTCCCTGGCAATCAGAAAATCAATAACCAATCAAAACATGACAATCAATAGCATTGTTACAATCCACATATAAAGATAATTGAGTAAACTTCTTGTGTGTGAGCAACAAACATGACATACTCTATGAGTGGTTCTGAAAGTGGCGTGAACACCAAACCAGCAATAATAAAAAATGAAGGCTGCCCTCCATCAATATGACGAGGCACCTACAAGGAAAGTGCTAAAATCATAATTATCAGGATCTAAACATAATCTGAAAAATATCATGTAGCATATGGAAGGGACATACCAGATGTACTCTGGGATTTAAAACTACTTGAACTTGCATGAATTTGCCAGCTCTGATAATACCAAGCTCGGCCACATCACCCGCAAACCTGGGAAAGTGCATATTAGATATGAGACTATGTAATTTATCAGCAGAACTACAAATATGAAACAAAGAAAATATGAAAAAGAAGTAAACCGAGCTTGAGGAGACTGAAAAGAAAAGGGAAAAAAATTATAAATCCTAATCTTATGTACAAGAGACATGCAGCAGGATAAACAGAAGAATTGAAAATAAATGTCCAAAAAAATGATATACTTTGTCATTTCTCACAGACAGCATTGGTTTTTCCATTTTATTAGTGTCACAACTCTGCAATCCAGGAAACATTTAAACTTGCAGATATCTGCCTAAATATAGCAAATCATTAATCTAAGTTGCAGTTACAAGTTAATTAAATACCAAGTTTTTATTAATCCACTGGAAATAAGACATTCACAATGTTGATTAAAGAAGATACTCATAAGATCTTTAGAGCATTGTATGAACAAGAAAACCATATGAAATGCCATGCAGCTTTTACTGTGGTTCTTTTGGCATAGAATGCCCTTACTTTTGACTGATGAGGTAGCAGAATGCAATGCGCTCATTTGATCGGAAAGGCACTGTTCCTTCACACCCAACATGGACGTTATCAAAGCTCACTATCACGTCTCCCTGAAAATTTAGGGTTCATATCAAAATTTGTTGTCTTAAAATTTTAAAGGAAGTCATGTTGCATGCAGGAGTAGAGGATGTAATAAGAGACAATGTTATAGAGGAAGATGTAATAACATTGAAATGGACACTCCCTATAATTTTCAAACAATGTCCGGCAAAATAATTTAGTGTTGCCAGAATACCTCCTTTAGAACATTGTTTGCATCAGAAGTAGGTTCAGCTCTTCGGACAAGCACACCCTGCAAAAGCCAGATCTTGTGAGGGATAAGACCAAAGAAAATTTAATTACTCAACAGATGGGAAACTATCATGTTTCAATAATTTAAAAAAAAAAAAAAGTACCGCAAATTCATGTTAGATGCATCTCTAAAAAAACGTAGGTAACATAATCAATTTAGGCCTGATGATGAAATTCAGGATAGGCAATATAGACTCCAAACGCAAGATGAAGTTAATATTGATTTATATATAAGTATTCCAACTGTGGCCATTTTTAATAAATACCTCTAGTTTCCCATGTACCTTAAATTTATTAATCCAAAAATGTGATGCTTTTTCACCAAAAAATTCATCAAGAAGTTGTTGCATGTCAGCATATTTTTCCAATGCCCAGTCCACAACTTGGAGGAGTTCATTGTGTAGAGGCACAACAATATGGTGACAAGACAATAATAATCAACAAAATGTAGTTCAGCCTAAATTAAAATTGCATTACCATCTAAAACTATTGGATTGTTGCATTTATCTTCATTTCTGCAAAATTTTATCCTCCATTCTTTCACTTAATCTAAACATTGTCATACCTAACTTCCACCCAAGGTAGTGCTCCTCCATCCTATCTAGAATGTAAAAAATTTTGATGTCTGTACCACAATCCAAAATTCATCTCCTCTCTACTGAATCATTGTTGAACCCCTCCCCCCAAAAGACCCATAGCCACAGCAAAATACACCCCTGAACCAAAGTCACCAGGAAGAATGCAAACAAAACATACATTTGCAATTCTGCATGCCAGATTGCAAGTGTATGTTTGCGCATGTGTGTGTGTGTGTGCATGAGTGGATCTGGGTTCTATATTTGCTGGTAACATTGTGGAAGTTATATCATGTTCATGTGTAAGTATTTTGTAGCAGACTAAGAGACAAACCTCATTTGACTGTACTTTCAAGCACTCACGAAGTGCTGGATTCTCTAACTTCTGCAGCAATACACCAAGGCTAGGGAAACCTAAAAGTAGACATATGGAAAATGCTTTTTCTTAGAGAAAATTCCCCATCTTTGTCAATTGTCATGATCAAGCTCAAGCAGTAAGTTGAAATCACAATAATAGAATGGATTGCTAATGATTGGAAAAGAAAATTAGCATGATAATTAGTTGAAGAAAGAGGCACAGGCTATAGACTCCGTTGGTGATCAAAAAGTAATCAGTGTCACTAAAAGCATAAACATTGCTTCCAATTACAATCACAGTACATACTAATGCAGCCACTGTGCAACTCGAATACAAAAATAGACAGATTTACATGAGCATGTAAAAAAAAAATACAGCAAGAATTTACATAAGGTCCAGAATATGGCTTTAACTGGGAATGGCTTTGATTTTGAAGAAAGCATGAACCTAAATTCCTAAACTGACAGTATTTGTATCATCTACACCAAAATACCATTGGCTGGTTTTCATTAAAACATAAGCGTAAAAGAATTCCACAAGAATATAGATAATAATTAGTCTATAGTCTATACCCTAACAAAAAAACTGAAAGGAATAACATGAAGTTCCAACTATAGATTTCAAGAAAATACGTACATATCACAGTTTTAACGGCAAGACAACACCATTGACTGCATAAAATAAACAGAATTTAAATGCCAACTTAAGACATTACGCATGCAAAATACCAAGATCTATATGTTAAGGCAAGGGAGATTCTAACCGGTATACTTTCCATTCCGCTCGTAGTCTTTCAGAAAATGAGATACAACTGTAGTTGGGATCACATATCCAATATTTTCTGCCTCTTCAGACCTATAAGCCTAATAGAAGTCCCCAGTTAAACTATAATAGCCTTAAGAAGGTTAAGCTTTTCATATTACAAGGACTAAATTTTGTAAAGGTCTAAAAAGTTTAGTTGACAATATTATGAGCTTTGGCTTGTGATTGTGACCAGGCCACAATTTATTTGAAAGGATGCAGTGTAAACTAAACTTGACCATATAAAATGCTTAAATACACACAAACACACGCACACCCCATATCTCATAAATGATTTATGAATATATCAAGAAAATTCTATGCCAAGAAAAGATTAATACATAAAAATTACCTGAAATGCCACCCCTATGCACTCTCTCCGATCATTAAATGCAGGACCACCACTATTACCTAAAATCTACCAAGAATAAGCAATGGCTATTGCAATTATACAAATAATGCCTTTAGAAAAGAAAGGGTCCTATAACCTAGTTTAGTCAATCCAATCAATTTCACAAGACATACATAGGAAAGTTTTATCACTAAAGAGTTTGAAATATAAAATTCAAGTATCTGCTGACCAGGATTTATTGCTGCATCAATTTGAATGCCCAACAAGTCAGATGAACCATGAGCATATGATGTAACCTGCAGAAAAAAGTGTTAGTATGAAACTTGATATTGTCATTGCTTTGAGCCAGGAGGCTAGAGAGAAAATCTTTTTGTGAAAGGGCTGTTGAATTTCATTAACAACAGGACAACGCAAAAATATTGATCAAAGGTATTGAAGTTATAAAAAAAGCCAGACAGGATTCTGTAAATCATGTAACTTTACTTTGAAGGAGAAAATCAAACCTCAATGCGTGAAACAACTCCCTTTGTCACTGAAATGGTGTCACCTCCAAGGGGATATCCTACAACAGTTACTGCATCCTGCCCATCAAGAAAGTAGAATACAAAGAATTCATGAGTTTGAAATGGAATTCAAAGAACAAAAGTGGAACAAATTCAATATGAATTACAAGAAATTTTGCTCTAGATTTAGATTGAGTGGACAGTCATTCTCATCACTACTACATTGCTAGTAGTGTTGGACTAGGTGGAGAGGAATAACTTTTTAAAATCACTTAAGGGATACTAGACAGTATTTTTTCAGTTAGTTGATTATAAAACACGGTACAATGTATGATAAGTTTTTTATTTAATCAAGCTATAGTTAGTTATCGTAATCATGATAGGAAATTACAAATTAAACTATTGAACAAACCATAAAACTTTTAGATCATAAGAACTTCTTTTATTATGTATTTGTTTCTTAGCTGAACCTTTCTAGATGCTAAATTTCTTCAAGGAAATTTATCAAATGATTGTTTTAAAATCCATTATGACTCATGAACAACTGAAAAATGCAGACAGAAAATAAGTCCACTCCAATAATAGAGCATAAATAGTACTTTATGCATGAGTGTTATTTAATACCTTAAGATGTGGCAAGCGCCCAAAATGTAGTGGTTCAGCCTCTTTCCAAAATTCCCCACTCTCAACTGAAAGCAAAGCTATATCACAATCAACACCCCTGGCTAAAACCTGTTTATAGAGAAAGATAGATACAATACAAGAACTTAATTAAACAAGCACTAAGCTAAACAGCCAGGGCAAAAGCTCAGTAAATTTCCAACAATACTTGGATTAAAATGACAGTAGTTAAAAGCACATGAATACTACCTCAATATTTATCTCTTGGAATCTAAAAATTTATTTTAATTTTGACAAGGTAATTATTTGATAGGACGATTTTAATCAGGAAAAAAATCAACTCTTTGCTGAGATCTCAATATCTTATACCATTAATTCATACAAATTTATTAATTACATTGAAAAAACCCCTATGTAAGGAAATCTTGTTTATATATAGCATAAACCAAAATTGGGTTTATGAATAAAAAAAGTCAAAAACAAAAATGATGGATTGAAAGCATAGTTAATGCATTAATCAAACAAAAACACCAAAAGCTAGAAATGAAATAGTTAAAAGTATATTAAAAAAAAGAAGAAGAAGAAAAGAAAACTAGGGTAACATATAGGATTTGGATCTAATTTCCAAATGAGCTAACCATGGCAGAGGGATTAAAAGTGTTTATGCTACCTTGTTGCATAACCATGTGGCTGAGTTGACTAGACATTATCATTTTATTATTTGTGCTCAAATCCCAAATTTTCTTTACTTACATCTGGTCATCTACTTTCTTTGATGACACACAAATTCACACAAAAGCAACTGCAGTCTAGAAAATCCGCACTTGAATAAAAGAAGATCAACATGGAAGGAATGATGGGGTCTTCTTACATTGAAATTTCACCAATGATAGGAAAAAATAATAAAAAATAAATTAAAAAAATAAAAAATAAAAAAAAGAAGGGAAGAAAAATACTCATTTTAAGCAACCAAAACCTATTGATATGTGGGGATGGCATGCTATTAACTTGGTGGTTTAGTTGTCCACTATCTATAAGTCAATGGTCACTACACCAGTAAGTGATTTTACCATGAATTGTAAAAACTCCCTAATGCTTTGGGTTTATAGTTTTAGAACAGGCAAATGCTACGAAGGAAAATTGTACTGTAGCACTTCAATAGGTTGTTGTCCTTGAGATTTTGGGACAATTTTAACTATTTAAGACATTAAAACTTCTAAGGTGTGTGTTGAGAAAGTAATACATAAGTCTTTATGTTAGGAACAATACCTTAGCCACATATTTAGTATCATCTCCTCTTCTCTTCACTTTAACCTGCGTTCATGGTAATTTTAAAAGAAAAGAGAGTAAAGTCAACTACACAAAATGAGCAATCAAAGCAAACCTAGAAAAATAATTAAGAACCACAAGCTACTTGATAAATGGTAATCTAAAGCATACTACAAGTAGCTGACAAAACTCTAAGATTAAAAGAAGTCCATCTTAAATTCCTTGCTACATCTCCAATTAAAAATATCAAAAGCTCTTGTCCATCATGTAATCAACCACTCAATTTCATGTGACCTTTGCTCGATGCTGGAGTTCTTACAGTTGTTAGATATTTAATGTTATTACCAAAGAACTTATTAAATCACCTGTGTACCATGTTCCACACAATGTGCACTGGTTAAAAGCTTCCCTTCCCCAATCATAAAAGCGCTGCATAAGGACAAACTTAATATTAAGAACAGCATGAAAAAATATAATCGTTTGAGACATGATATATGACATCAACATATCAAATATCAAGGGTAGAATAAACAACTAGAATGCAGAAAGAAAATGAAAGGAACCAGCAGAGCTCTTTTTCTTTATTTGCTTTTCCTTTGAATCCCTTTAAATGATTTTGGAGGACACAGGTTTCAGAACTTGCCTTCCAGTGCTTGTATATTGTCTTTGCCTATGCCAAGGAAGAGAATAATTGGGTGCAGTATGAGTGCAGTAAACCTAGATACATATCAAAGAAACAAAAAAATATATATATTATTAACAAGAAGAAACAATTTGAAATCAACTATAACCCTAGATTGCAGATTTAAACAGGCTAAACCAATCATTTAGAAAATAAATGAAAGATTGGTCAGCCAATTTCATGAGGAGGAGGCAAATATAGCCTGCTGCTTCAAGAAGATGCTTTTGAAATACCTAATTAGCAGAGAATTCTTTCTTCAGCTATCAGCCTATCAATGTAAATATCAAGTGGATTTCAGACCAAGATAGATAACCTGCATACCCTATGGCATCCAACAAGCAAATGCCATGGTAACAACATTATCCTAACATCTAGCTAGTCACTTATCTTTATGTTCTCATCACTAATGTGGACAACGCAATGATATTTGAGTCATGCATTCGTAGCAAAAATAATAACTACAGTCCACAGATTTGATTGACAAAATCATCCACATGATATACATGTCTAGAGCACACATAAAACTACAAAGCCACCATTCAAGCACACAATTCACTCAAAATATGTAGAAATCAGAACGGTTAATAAAGAAAATCATGATCCACTACTAACTACTAAATTAAACAAAGTGGAATTTTACAATAAAACAATGTAATACCAGAATAAGGTGAAAATCTTTTACCTTAACAACAGCATTAAGAAAAGCTTCATCCTGGAGATCCCCTGGTTCAATCTGAAATCAAATGGAAACCTTTGATCATTATGAGTCGCACAAGAGTTAATAAAACAAGCCATCTAAGTAGAAGATATATGTGTTAAGAGTAATAAAAAATACACTTCTAGAGGTTTTGGGAAGCCATATTATAATGAGAATCATTCCTAACCTAATAGATCTCCTAAAATTTATATGTTTTGAAATCTTAATTGCATTTAGCAATTTGTATGAGCTCAACGTGATGGATAAGATGTGCAAAATCATTGGAGAAAGTCAAAGAACTCAAGTGACTTTAAATTCAAGAGACGGAAAAAAAAAGAAAAAAAAAAAAAAAAAAGAAAGAAAAAGGTTCCTTTCAAGAGGGTCATGGCTAGTTGCAAAATGGGGTTTATCGTTATGCAACAAAAACCCTCTCGCATCAACTCATATTTTCCACTTTAGACGGCACTAAGTTAGAGCCTTAGACATGAATCTGGTTCAACCCATTGCCTAAGTCATCATCAGAAAACACCTCCAAATGTATTGTGTACTTGAGAGTATACCTGCTGATCTATTGAATCAAACTGAAACTCTTTGTGTCTTATTTCCATTCCAAGAGATTTAAAAGCTGTAGGTTGAGAACGCCCTGTGTCCCCTTTAGCACTGATTCCATCAGCATTGGAGTTACAGTGGAAAGGCGATGGACCTCTCTTCAAATTTCTTATTTCCTTAGGACCGGTAGCTTTAAGGGCGAGAACACCAATGGACGACTGCCTGGTGGCAAGGCAGGGAGGACAACCGGAGGCGGAGCCATGGGGGTTAACGGTGGATCTGAGAACAAAGAAGCTGTAGCTGGCTGCGACTGCCATTGACATGATACCATGAAGCACTGGTTATGGAACAAAAAAGAAGAGATATATATGGAAGCGGAGAGAGTTGACATCGGTGTTTGCTGGTTCTTCCCCCCTTAGACCTTGATCCTTATCCTTTGATACTAAAAAGGAAAATGCAAAATCAGATTTAGGAATTGGCGCCTCTCTATCTTCCCTCCTTGTTAAGGGAAGAACAGCAATGACTACAGAAATGCTTGTGCTGCCTTTAGCAAGGGTATCTAATAAATTCTCCCCTCCATTTCTGACACCAGGCCCGGCCCAAATGCCAGTTTCAAGAATTTTGGACCCAAAACAGCTCATGCCTCTGGATATGATAACGACGGGGGTCTAAGTTTTTCTCCTGGCCAACTATACCATTTGATTTTGATTTGTTTTTCGGTTGGGTATGATAACTGGACTACAAAATATAGCTATTCAAGAAAGCATAATTTATTGATGATCTATTAGTTTCAATAGAAGGAGCTTGGTTTTTTTCTCAAGTTTGAATCCTGTAAATAAAAAAATAGGCGTTGTGAGAGTTTTTTCATAATGAACTTCAACATGACTTGATTCCGAATTAATTGAAATTCAATGTAATTATAAAATACTAAAAAATTAATATTAAAAAAACAAAGCACAATTTTTCAATTTTAAGGCTTCTTAACTAGACTGTAAAACACCTTTTTACTTTGTATAATAAGAATTTTTTTGATATAGAGTATAAGGTAATATATAAGTATACATAGAACAAACTTGACTGATTTAGCATAACGCACAAAATAAGAAAAAATTTGAAGAAAACATGTATTCATGAGAACTTGAACATTGTGTGGCCTTAGACTTTATAGATCCTTAACCAGTCAATTTGAGATCTTATTGGCATGTTTTAAGAATTTTAATTTAATTCAAACTTGAAAATGTTAGTAATTTTTTTCCCTTAATTTATAGATTTTCTTTCCTTTTCTCTAATATTTTCATTTGCTTTCCTTGCCCATACTATTTATCTAGATTTGAAAAAATATATATATAATTAATTTATTAATTATTATTATTAAAATTTTAAATATTATATTTTTAATTGTTAAAATACATAAAATTAAAAAAGATCCAATAATAATGAGTTGTTTTAGGAGTCCAAATATAATTTATATAGTCCATTATTTATTTTAACAATTTAATTATTTATTATTATTTAAAACCCACCAATCTCAAGATTAACAACTGAATTACGTAGAAAAAGAAAAAAAAATAGGTTTTCATGTTTTTTACATCATTTCTCCAATATCCAATCCCATTGTCCTAGTGTCAATCTCCTTCAACCAATTAACATTAACCCAACTACTTCAAAAATAGAAAAAAGAGACTCCGCAAATGGCCTGATGCAAGCAACTACAACACTGCTCTCGTCATTGAAAAGTTAAAGACAAAGGGACCACCAAACGGACCACTAACTTCTTGATAAAAACTAAAAACAACACTATTTTTTTTATATGAATTATATATTGTCATATTATGTTTCAACTTTCAAGTTTTGTAAGTTTATTTTATTTTATTTTAAAATTTTATCTTATACTTGCTAGTAGATATATTCTAACAAAAAAATTAATATACTCTCTCTGTCTCAAAGTAATTAATATTTTTTATTTACAATTTATCCTAGAACAATAGTCATTTTTTTATTTTAAGGAAGATAAATAATTTTTTTCTGCTTTAACCTTATAATTATCTCTTAACTTTAATTATTGATCTTCTGATTAAAATAGATATTTATTCTTAGTTATTTTTTAAATATAAAATAAGTAAAGATAGAAATTATTTTCAAATCCTTCATTTGAAGATAAAACGAAAAATCTATTATTCTAGTATGGAGGGAGTAATATTTAAATAATGAAATTTATTAATTTTTTATTATCACAAAAAATTGTATAATTTCTTTTTAGGATTTAGAGTTGTTGAGATTACAAATAGAATTGAATATTATGATAATATTGAAGTTATATGGAATATAATTGGATTGGAGTAAAATAAATAAAAAAAGAAAAAGAAAAAGAAGGTGTAGATATATAAAGGGAACATATATAAACCCAATAAAAGGAAAAACCTTAGATATAGTCATATAGAGAACAATAATAAGAAGATAAATTAGTATAAAAGGAAGACAAACTAGTATAAAAAGAAGACAAACTAGTATAAAGTGTAATTAGCTTGTAAAAAGGGAAAAAAATTGTTTGATTATAAAAAGTGATAGGATAAAAAGATTAAATGCTGTCGTTTTTTATATTTGCCAACCTCACTTGTGGAGGTAGAGGATCTCTTCACTCTACCAACAACAATAAAAAGAGCATTTTCTGTTATGAAAATTGTGAAAATGAGACTTCGCAGCAAAATGAAGGATGAATTCTTTTCAAATTCTTTGATTGTTTATATTGAAAAGGAAATAGTTCAGTTATTTAGTATAGACTTTATTATAAATAAATTTCGTGATATGAAAACTCGTTAAGTATCATTTTAATTTATGATATAAAAAGAAGTTTTCAAAATTACAATGAATTATTTTAAAACTTGAAAAGCTAGCCCTCCCTAACTAAAATTCTTGGCTTCGCCACTGTTTGGGAACACCTGACTACCAAAAAATTAAAAAATAAAACATAAATAAATAAATAAAACTAGATTGGAATAAATATGTTTAACAAATTAAATAGGTTTTTAGCTTTTGTTATAAATTTTTGAAAACTTTCTTAAACAAGTTGTTGATTTCAAATTTTTATTTTGGTTTTCAATTGTCAACTTTCACTGCTAAATTTTTTTAACAACACAAATCATGAATCAAAAGCTAATGGTAATACTAATAGAGCCTTAGTATTTAAAGTATGGT